TAATGGATATACAAACTTTCCTGGTTGATGTTTTAATAATTAAAGGGGATATCCAGATCATAAATCAGAAGAGTAACTTTAAGAGTTGTCTTACTTTGGATCCACAGAAGGGAAACACTAAATCTTTGAATTCGTTTCTGAAAACAGACAGGGAGAAAACAATAAGAGGTTATTATCAGGGACCTTCTTTGAAGAAGCGACTGAAGATTGAGCCTCTTAAAAAGAAGAAAAAGGAGTTTAAAGTGGACTTACCTGATCAGGGTTAAATTGTACAAGTTCTGATTTTGGATTGTTATTATTGGAATCTTTTTTTGTTGTGACCAGGACTGTAAGACAATGATTTACAGGTGTAAAAGGGATTTGGTTTAGTTTAAAATATATATGTTAGTATTATTGTATTCCTTATGCCTATGGGGATAGACCTTTTATGTTTTAGTTACTAGAAAAAGTTATGTTAAAATCCAAAATAGATTTAAGTTTAAAATATATAGTTCATTATTACAGATATTCTTAATGCTTTTGCTGTCTAAGATTGATTGAATTTTTTTTATTATTTGGGTACAGTTTGGGGATGAGAAATGGGAAGAAGAGGTTTTTTAGAGAAGGTGTTAAGTTACTATAAATGCTTATACTTGTTTCGAGGGAGGGGGAAGTCACTTTTTATATGTCTTTCTCTTTCCTCTTTCTTTGCCTCTCTCGATATTTTTTTCTTTTTTGTTTGTATATCTTTTTAGTTTTGTATTAGCTTTTATATATGTAAAACCTCAATAAAAATATTATTAAAAAAAGATAAGATCAGGATGAATTTCCTCCCTATGGATTTATGTTCATATTTAAATTGTCTTTTTAAAAGGTAATCCTAATCCATCCTCCACAAAAAGTAAGAAATGTTAAAGAACCAGAAAAATAATTTCTATCTATAAGATATGAAATCAGAATAATAAAAAGGAAATTGCATGAGAATGCTCAATCTGTGATCTTCAATCAGGTGGCAGAATTACCAGATAATGTTTAAATGATCATTTATTTATTTATTTATTAAATGTATATACTGCCCAATTCCCAGTGACTCTGAGCAGTTTACAAATTGTAAAAAACATTAAAACAAGAAAATATTAAAACAAGATTACCTACAACATAGAAACTTCCCAGAGTCCAAAAAGCAGACTTTTTAAAAGCACATCAAAACATTTATAGAATTTAATAACTGAATATATACAGTGGTACCCCGGGTTACGAATGCCTCTGTTAATGAACTTTTCGGGTTACAACCAGCTCCGGCCACAAAAATTTACCTCGGTTTGCGACCTCCGCCTCGGGGTACGAACAGGATACGCGGCCATTTTCCCTCCTGTGACACGGTCCGCAGCCATTTTTCCGCCCCTGACACATGGTCCGTGGCCATTTTCCACCCCTGACACATGGTCCACGGCCATTTTTCCACCCCTGACACGTGGTCCGCGGCCATTTTCCGCCTCTGACACATGGTCGTAGGGAGGGGGACTCTCCCTCCAAGCAATAGCTGCCTCCCTGTCCTCCACCCCAGAACAGATTAACGGTAATTACATTGAACCTTATGGGGAAG